ATAGGCAGGGATACTCTTTCCTCCCCTCCCCTTGGCACCCTACTTCTTCACTCTACCTATCATTCTCCCTTATTGGTCCCCCATAGCACTCATCAACAACTAACATACCGTTATCTTTTCTAAAAATGTGTCTTACCCAACTAATATAAGTCTCATGAGGGCATTTGAATTTTGTCTGTTTTGTTCACTTCTGCATCTAGAAGACTAGCAAATAATTGGTGTTCAGTAAATATTAAGTATTACAAATAGGCATTTTTTGTTCAGGGTGGCAGAATTTTAAACCCAGTCAGGATCAGAGATGATAATGAAGGGTTGCTACATTCTAATCCTGAATTATGTGATTACTCCTACAAAGGTAAGAGAAAAATTTGTAAACATGATGACTATCTGGCATTGTGATATGGTGATAATACTTCTAAGAATTCAGATCTGTGAGGTATTTTTTAGGCTACTGATTTATCCTATGATATTAGTAGCATTTTTCTTTTGAAAAAAAGTGTTTCTCATTTCAAGTACTTTAAATGTTAGGTAAAAAATAGCACCTAATTTTAAAACTAAAGTAATTCAATCAAACGACCTGTTTGGGGATGGCAGAGCCTCACTAAGATCCTGTAGGTATAATGATAGCATTTACAGTCCAAAATTACCATTGCAAATTTTGATTATATCAACATCAAAATGAACTGAAAAATAAGTACTTACAATTTAGAAGACTTCTCTTTTAGACACAATGTTGAACATATATTAAAAATCTGGAAAATCAGAATCATGAATACTTAGCCTGCTTTATTGAGTTTAATAAATTCATTGAAATGATTCTAAGTAATGACCATTACTTTCACTTATTTCTTACATAAGATTCCTTCAGAAAAATGGGGATATAAGTCATAGATTTCATAACCTAAAGAAATAAAAATAATTTTCCTTTGGAATGCATCTTTGCTAAACAGATGAGGATCAACACTACCGCCTATTATAAAGTGTTCTGCCTGGTGATTTATGTCAATTGCTGCTACTTATACATTTAAACTTGCAGTGTACAGCTCACTGACTAACTACATCGTCCTGATGCATCGTTCTATTTATTATCATGCCAAAACTATTGCTCTTTTCCTCTGTTGGGCAGATTGCTTTCACTTAAAGCAATTCAGTAGAAAGTTAATCACAAGTTTTCTTCCTTAAACTGGATTTTTGCAACAGTAATGAGTAATCTAGACTGCAAGAACATTCCCATTCCTTTGATGCAAAACAGTCGCATCACATCCATGTGCACCAAGCACCCCTTGGCTTCCTAATATCAGCCTCCCTTCTAATCTGGCATCTTTAACACAGGTTCATACACTCTTTGTGTAATCAACTCTAGATTATTTAGACAGTTCTATTTAAATTATCAAACACTTGAAGCAAATAACTTAATGCTTACTCCAAGTTCTCTACAGACATAAATAGTAATCTTGCTTACTCTACTCAGCAGGACTTTAAGATCAAAATAACTTGTGTTCTCCACTCCCCACACCACTAGAAAGTGTGAACCAATTAGGATGACAAAAAAAAAAAGTTCTAGCTCTGCTTAGTCTGATCCTTTACATCAGCCTGAGAGATAATAATGAGAATGCAATGAATACTAGGGGAGAAATTAGGCAGAAAAGAAAGAGTAAGGAAATTTGAGAGTCAAATCTTTACCGTATGATGACTTGTCTTGAAATACGGGAGTAAACAATACAGGGACTGAGTATTGCTTACAATGCTGGGAGTGGGAAGAGGGTAAAGAAGCCAAGCTATTAAGATAAAATAGGCCTAACAGACAAATCAGAAAAATCACAGACTACAAGATAGGCTACTAGATAAGCTTTTTGTTAACCTAGACTTTAACATATATTTACTAAGTATTTTGATTATCTAAGCTCTTCTCTTGTCAAGTTGGAATACACAAACTATAACATACTATGGTGGTTTCTTCTTTTTTTTTTTTTTTAAAGGAGCCCCAGTCTGACATTTTAGGCTGTCTACTATCTGGACAGAAATCCTTCAGAAAATAATTTTTATATAACCAATACATTGTTCATTCAGTGTGATGGACCTGAAATCAGATTTTGAGAGAAGGAGAAACAGAAAAGAATGCTCTGGCTTTCACAGTAGGGAGAAAAATCACCTACCACCAAAGACAAAATATTTAAAGGGGCAGGGGAGTCAACATCACAATTTTGCTGAAGATTGCCTGGCTTCTTTAGCACCACAAACTCATAAACACATTTATACATTCCACAAAATAAACAAAAATAATATGCATTTTCATAAATATCTTCATTAGCTATTTCCATTAGACACAGTAAGCAGGCATTTATGGGGAGACAATATGGTAATAGAGTGGTTCCTGAGAGTCAATGAGATTCTATTAATAAATAATTATCAGAACACTCCCCAGTATGTAGGCTCAGGAATATATATGTGTGTGTATGTATATATATATATATATATATTCCCAATTTAATGAGAAATAATTGACACACATTACTGTGTAAGTTTAAGGCATACAGCATGCTAGTTTGATTTACATAATTGTGAAATGATTAACACAATAGGTTCAACTAACATCCGTCTTCTCATATAGATACAATAAAAAGAAAAGAGAGAAGACAATTTTTTTTCTGTGTGATGAGAATTCTCAGGATTAACTCTCTTAACAACTTTCCTTTATATCATACATACATCATATAGTAGTTAGCTATAGTCATCATCTTGTGTACTATATCCCTAGCACTTAATTTTCATCTTGTAAGTGGAAGCTCGTACCTTTGACCACCTTCCTACCCCCATCCTCTGTCTCTGATAACCACAGTCTGGTCCCTTTTGCCATGAATTTTTGTTTGTTTGATCTTAGATTCCACATATAAGTGAGATCATACAGTATTTGTCTTTCTGTGTCTGAATTATTTCACTTAGCAGAATGCCTTCAAGGTCCAACCATGTTGTTGCAAATGGCAGGATTTCCTGATTTTTTATGGCTGAATAACAAGGAATAGTATAGATTTTTAAAGAGCTCTATGGGAGGATGTGATAATGAGAAAATTTGGGACCAATGCTACAGCAAAACAAACAAACATTAACAAATCCCAGCATCAGGATACAAATGTTTGTATTACTAATGACCAGCAATTATTAAAGGTTACAAGAAAATGAAATAAATACTAGGTTTTAGTGACAGCCATGAAGAGATTCTAAATCTATGACTAAGAATAAATGCACTAAAGGTGAAGAGAGCTTGCACATCTTTGTCCAACTTTGAAAAGCCCTGGCCAAAGTTTCAGTGAATCAAGTTGGCTGACTTGACAAAAGGAGATCAATTAGATGGACTTTGTGATTTTCCAGAGTATAGATGATAGAATTTGGTTTGCTTATGAACATTAGAAGTAGATGGCCTTATGTAAATTCCAAGCAGGTTGACATATACTGTAAATACCTGGATTTTGAATTGGAAGACCTGGGCTTGAGTCCCAGTTCTGCTGCTGTGTGATCTCAGGCAAGTCATTTAACCTGAGCCTCAATGTTTTTAATGATGAATTAAGATCACATGACATAGTATATGTAAAAAGTACTTTGCAAAATGTAAAGCATTTTGCAAATGCTAGTTGTCAATGTCATAAATGATCAAAACATAAACATTTGTCATTTGGTTTCTCCAGTTCAAGAAAATGAGATGGGAACTATTCACAATTTGGAGTTGGCTGGGTACATATTTTATTTCCATAGGATTTTTGTTATTAAAAAGTCCATTGTTATTTTTTTAATTTATTAATTTATCCACTTTTTATCTAACACTAAGTGTCCATTATAGTCTTAGGCACTTCACAACTTATTTTAACTTCTCAACAAGCTAATGAGGTAAGTACTATTATCATCCTCATTGTGTTGTTGAGGAAACTGAGGCACTGGATTTAGAATTTGCCCAAGTGAGAGAAAGAGCTGGAATTCATACACAGGCAATCTAGCTCCAGAATTTGTGATCACTATAAAATTTTATTCACTAAAAGGCAATTCTGTTGCACAAATCCCCAAAGATGGTGTTATAAAAAGCTTGTGCCCCATATCATAAGAAATAAATTGTGTTGAAAATAATAAGAAACTGTCATCTGGCATTTGCTGTATCAGGTAATATTTATATTGCTCAGAAAAGTTTTTTCCGGTTATTAATCAGTAGTTAAAAACTTAAACCACCAATGAATGTATGGTTAAAATGGCAAATTTTGTGCTATATATATTTTATCATAATTTTGAAAAGGAATAAAAAAAGTCAAATTTATTGTATACAGTTTAAAGTATTTTACATGTTCTGATTTCAAGTTGCAGAATTTTTTACTTTGTAAAACTTAATATGTCATTAAGTCTACAGCAAGGAAGCTGTTACAAACAAAATATGGTAGTAAAGTATTGGTAATATATTGATGAAACAAATCACTGGGAGCACATGAACACTGAGTCAACAGATAGTTTTTAAGGTCTCTGCTTATTTAACATGCTGCTATTTCCTACTGCTCCAGCCAGGCTGCCTGAGACATCTGGGGATGTTAAATAGAACTGGGAGAACTGGTTTAAATCAGCAATGAAAACAAGCTTGTGCTCATTTGCCCTGACCTTTTTAAAAGTTCGGATTGGCCTAAAGGATTTTAAGCAATAGTACAAATCGGTATCAAGTCCTAAACCTAAAAGAAAGTTAATATATTGGCTGCTATTTTCTATTCCACATTTACTTGTTTTTTATGGAATATGAGTTTATGCAAAAACAATGGTTTTATTCATTACAGACAGATGCTCAGATTTCGTTAACAACAGAATCATAAGAGCAGGTGGGAAATCTAGGAGAAGAGGATGTTTAAACACATGATGCAGAATCAGTACATATTCTGTAAGCTAAACAAAATGGTAAGGAAGTGGTAATTCTGAAATTTATTTTCAGTTAGTGTAATCTGCAGTGCTTAGGGTTTAAGGATAATAGGTTTTACCTGAGTCATGGCTTGATTGGTCCTGGTCCTTGAAGATAACTTTAAAAAAAATGTGGTGGAATTAAAAAAAAATGAAAGAGACATTAATATATCAATTTTACACTTTCACTTATATGATTATGAGTTTTGGACTTGACCAGTCCCTAATGGAAAAAATGTTACCAAAAGTTACTGTACAACTGTTTAATAATTTAAGAACCCAAACATAAAATACTCATTATAAGGCAGCCTTACTCATAAGGGGTATGACTGTAAAAGGAATTTAGTGAGTCTTGTATTTTGGCTAAAACTGATCTGACTCTGGTTTCTTAAAAGGAAAATAGGCACTTCTAGAAAAGTGGGAAAGTTATACATTGGAATTTCTTAGAAAAGATTATTGCTGTTGCAGTAAAGAGTCAATATGAGAAACCTAATTGATTCTTAATATATTTTTCCTGCATTTGATGATGGGAAAGGTAGCAACCTGCTCCACTCTATAAAATTAGTAAAGTTGGTCATATTACTTGGAATTGGACTTTTAACTTCAGTACAAGTTCACAGCTATCTAAATTCATAAGAGATGAAATCAGGAGATGACAGGTGAACTCAAGAATTTATTTGGAACAGCAAAGTCAGCATATATAAATGTGAATGAATCGAAAAAAGCAGACTAGAGATAGAGAAAGAAACTAGTTCCATTCAGTTGCAAAGAACATGAAAGAGAGTATATCCTATTCTTCTTTCAAATTCCATCAAGCAAATCCAAAGTATTCCTGAGGCACTGCTGATACAGAGGACTGGTCATTCCCCAAGGAGTCAGAGTAGGAAGCTCTACCCTATCTCCTGCTTTCAACAGGTCTTCACATTTCTGTTTACACTAGGAGAAAAGCACTGCAGCAATGGCCTCTTTCAGTCATGCTCTGAAGATTCAAAGGGTAAGATGATCAATTGGCTCTATTTCTCTTGATTTCTAGGGGCATCACATTGGTTGATTAAAAAAACATTAGAAGCATGTCACTTTTCACATATGATTTTAGTCAAAAGAAAAGGAATTATTCTCTACCTTGGTGCCAGTTTTGGTGTTCCCTCCTGTGGATGTGAATTTCTAGGGAAAGGAAATAAATAACTGTGTATTTCACCTATGCTTTCAATAAATGATAGCAACTAATGTTTATTAAGAGCTTGCTATGTAACAAGCACTCAGCTAAATGCTTTATGTGTATCATCTCAGTTAACCTCTTAAACAGCTTTCTGTGGCAGATACTATTATATAAAATCTCCATTTTATGATGAGGCATATGGAGTTTATAAAGAGTAAGTGACATGCCTGAAGTCAATCATCTGGTAAGTAGCACAGCCAGCTGTCAAATCCAAAGAACCTGGCTCTAGAGCTTGCTTTATTAACCACCATAACAAATGTGTATTTTTCCTAATATACAATAGTATAAAAGTTTACCTGGAAGATTATTCACAAATAGGTCATAGTTACAGAAACTCTGTCCAGGCCAAAAACTAAAAGATGCTTAAAAACAAGCAAATGAACAGAAAGTCTTAATCCAATAATACTGAAATTGTAGCAAATTTTGTATCAGATATGGAGTTCATACAACAAAAATTTACTGCAAGTCCTGTAGCGAAGCAGATTATTTGCCAGCAGGAACATGGTATAACATGTTACAAATATTCAGGAGTACAGCTGACCTTTGAACAATGTAGGGATTAGGGACACTGACCCCCTACCCATCCCACCAGTCAAAAACCCATGCATAACTTTTGATTCCTTGAAACCTTAACAACTTATAGTCTACTGTTGATCAGAAGCTTTACTGATGATATAAACAGTTGATTAACACACATTTTATATATGTATTATATACTGTATTCTTACCATAAAGTAAGCTAGAGAAAATAAAATGTTTTTCAAATTGTTGCAAACCTCCAAAAATCTTTCCAACATATTGAAAAAAAAATCTGTGTGTAAGCAGACCCAAACAATATATATATCTATACATATATATATATATATATATACACACACACAGACAGTCCCCAATTCATAATGGTTCAGCTTATGATTTTTTGACTGTACAATGTTGTGAAAGTGATATGCATTCAGTAGAAACCAGACTATGAATTTTGATCTTTTCCCAGGCTAGTGATACATGGTACAAATTCTCCCTCGTGATGCTAGGCAATAGCAGCCAGCCAGCCCCCAGTTGGCCATGTGGTCATAAGGATAACAACCATACACATACACAGTATTCTGTACCCACATAAACATGTGTTTTTCACTTTCAGTACAGTATGCCACTTATTACATGACATATTCAACACTACATTATAAAATAGAATTTGTGTTAGGTGATTTTTTCCAACTGTAGGCTAATGTAAGCGTTCTTAGCATATTTCAGATAGGCTGGACTAAGTTGTGATGTTCAGTATGGTAGGTGTATTAAAAGCATTTTGGGAGGAGGAGCCAAGAGTAGGACAGTGGGAATCTACTCCCAAAAACATGTATTTTTGAAAAAATACAACAAATACAACTATCCCTAAAAGAGAGACCAGAAGACACAGGACAACAGTCAGACTACATCCACACCTAGTGAGAACACAGTACCTCACGAAGAGGGTAAGATACAAGCCACAGCCCAGTGGGACCCGAGGCCCCTCACCCCAGCTCCTGGCAGGAGGAGAGGAGTCGAAGCGGAGAGGGAGAGGGAGCCCAGGACTGCTAAACACCCAGCCCTAGCTATCCACACCAGAGCACAGACACACAGTGTATGCGTGGGGTGTTGGAAACTAGGGAAGCAGGACAGTAAGACCTGTGAGTGGGTCCCCGCAGCTGGTGCATCTGGGACAAAGAAAAGCGAATGCTTTTTGAAAGTCTTAAAGAGACAGGGACCCCACTACTAGATGGAAGCATCCCGGGTCACAGTCCAGCAGATGGAAATTCCAGGGAATTCCTATCCCCTGGGCAACAGTTCTGAGACCCCTCACGGAGGTAAACAGCCAAACAGCCCCCTGCCCAATACCCGTCCCGGGCCCCACCATAGCAGAGCAGCGGCCTGAGGCTGGCCACACCCACAGCAAGAGAGCTTCATCCATACCAGCTGGGCAAGATACAGAAACCCAGTCTACACGCAATTGCCCAACACAAGCCACTAGGGATCGCAGTTGTCCCAATAAAGAAAGGCCATGAGCAACTGGAAAAAGTCTAGGCTCTCCCAGCTGACAGATGTGTCAATAGCATATCACTGCACCTATCAACATGAAAAGGCAAAAAAATTTGATCCAGACAAGACTAACCCAGACAGCTTCAAAATCTTCTACATCTTCCCCTGAGAAGGAACCTGGGGAGACAGATTTAACCAATCTTCCTGAAAAAGAATTCAAAACAAAAGTCATAACCATGCTGATGGACTTGCAGAGAAATATGCAAGAACTAAGGAGGGAGAATATAGAAATAAAACAATCTCTGGAAGAACTTCAAAGCAGAATGGACAAGATGCAAGAGACCATTAATGGACTAGAAAACAGAGAACAGGAACGCAGAGAAGCTGATGCAGAGAGAGATAAAAGGATCTCCAGGAATGAAAGAATATTAAGAGAACTGTGTGACCAATCGAAACAGAATATCGGCATTATAGGGGCACCAGAAGAAGAAGAGAGAGAAAAAGGGATAGAAAGTATCTTTGAAGAAATAATTGCTGAAAACTTCCCCAAACTAGGGGAGGAAATGGCCTCTCAAACCACAGAGGTACACAGAACTCCCATGACAAGGGATCCAAGGAGGGCAACACCTTATAATAAGACACATAATAATTAGAATGGCAAAGATCAAAGACAAGGACAGAGTATTAAAGGCAGCGAGTGAGAATAATAAGGTCACCTACAAAGGAAAACACATCAGGCTATCATCAGACTTCTCAAAAGAAACCTTACAGGCCAGAAGAGAATGGCATGATATACTTAATGCAATGAAACAGAAGGGCTCGAACCAAGAATACTGTATCCAGCAGGATTATCATTTAAATATGAAGGAGGGATTAAACAATTCCCCGACAAGCAAAAGTTGAGGGAATTTGCCTCCCACAAACCACCTCTACAGGGCATCTTACAGGGACTGCTCTAGATGGGAGCACTCCTAAAAAGAGCACAGAACAGGCTGGTGGAGCCAAGATGGTGGCGTGAGTAGAGCAGCGGAAATCTCCTCCCCAAACCACATATATCTATGAAAATATAACAAAGACAACTCTTTCTAAAATAGAGACCAGAGGACACAGGACAACATCCAGACCACATCCACACCTGCGAGAACCCAGCACCTCACGAAGGGGGTAAGATACAAGCTCCAGCACCGCGGGACCCGAGCTCCCCTCCCCCCAGCTCCCGGTGGGAGGAGAGGAGTTGGAGCGGGGAGGGAGAGGGAGCCCAGGACTGCTGAACACCCAGCCCCAGCCATCCAGACCAGAGTGCAGACACAGTGCATGTGTGGGATCCTGGATACTAGGGAAACAGGCCAGCAAGACTGGTGAGCAGGTGCCTCAGGCCGATGCCGGAGAACAAAGAAATGGGAGTGGCCATTTTATTTTTTCCTCTTTTTTTTTTTGGTGAGTGCTTTTTGTAAGTCTTAAAGGGACAGGGACCCCAATACTAGGGAAACAGGGCAGCAAGACCAGTGAGCAGGTCCCTGAGGCTGGCGCCTGAGGACAAAGAAAATAGTGTGTTTTTCTTTATTTTTTTAAAATTATTTGATTTATTTTTCTTTTTGTTGTTGTTGTTGTTGTTGTTTTGGTTTGGCGAGTGCGTTTTGGAGTCTTAAAGGGGCAGGGCGGGACACTTAGTCCAGAGGCAGGGAATCTGGGGAATCTGGGGATCTCTGGGCACTCTAACCCCCTGGGCAGCAGGGAGCATGGAGGCCCCTTACGGAGATAAATAGCCTCCCGGTTGCTACCCCTCCAACGGGGCTCCACCATTTGGGAGGAGCAGCCCGCACCAAGCCACAGCTAAAGCAACAGCAGAGATAAACTCCATAGCAGCTGGGCAGGAAGCAGAAGCCC